CTGTTAAGCCAGTGTACAAATCCTACACCTGTATAGCGATTTATCGTGACAAACTGCCTTCAAAATGATTTTGGTTTCGACCTGACACATAAGCGTAAGCGCGGATGATTTATTGGATTCGATTGATCGTTTAGTTGACCAGCTTGTTGACGGAGATCCACGTCAAAGAATGGGAAATTGGTTAAGGCCATGGAGTGGTCCTACATTTTCCCGAAGCAAACCCTTACTCGATGAGAAAGGTTCGAAGACGTAGTGCATGGGTTCTGCGGGCAATTGTTCTCGAAAATGGCGCACCACAAGATGCTCATTTACATAATCCAAACTTCCATCCCTGGGTGGCTCGAACCAACTCCAACTCGCCCTGAGAAGCACCCAGGGGGTTCCTTGGTCAAACGCACCACAGATTTTGAGCTTTTTCGGGATAGGAGCGCTTAGATCAAGGAAGAGGCAGTGTCAGAATCCCACTGATATCAACCCGAAACGCCACTTTGACAAACTAAAATTTGATAGAAATACGGAAGAGTAGATATCTTACAATAGTGCAGTCCCTAGCAGAGTAAGAAGTTATCTATCAAGTGCATAAGGGGACCTTTTCACTTCTTCGAACAAAATTTCATGTGAGAAAAAAACGCCACTACTTATGGGCCAATCCAACAGAATTATAGTTAGGCACTGTAGCCCATGAAATTGGTCATGCGCTCGGATTCTACCATACACAGTCACGCTACGATCGTGATTCTTATATCTGGGTCAATCTCGATAATGTGGAATCGGGCCAAGAGCATAATTTCGTGAAGGTTTGTGATCTCACTTTGTATGCTCAGCCAGAACACAGCAAATTATGAAATTTCCAGCAAACTACAGCGACCGAAAATCATTTCGGACTGCCGTACGATTACGGTAGCGTGATGCACTATGGTGGATGTGAGCTTTGATTTTCTATTCTTTTCTTTCTGCTTTCTGAAGTGAGTCAAGAAAGTAGTTGTCGCGGACGGGTGCACCACTCCCGTATGTGCGATCGACATCGGCGGTCAACGCACTCAAACTCCCGGTGCGCCGACTTACCAGTCGGACGCCCCATCGGGCCCACTACACTCCTCCTGCGCCCCTAACAGGAGGAGCGGACCACCCCTCGGGGACCATGGGGTCTTACCGCCTATTCAACCGCCCCAACAGCTAGACGACAAGGACCAGGGTACCCAACCCTACCTACACATGGTCTAATACACGCGCATTACCAACGCAATACACCACACTGACATATAAAACAATAGCAATACCGCAATACCAACACATTGAACACAACTACGCATTGTAAAGAAACATATTTACTACTCGAAATACTCACCACACTACAATAGTTGTTCTCTCCCTGGTCGCCGATCTCACGGGCTTCGTTCCATAGCTGACTGCGCAATAGGCCCCCTTGGCTCTGCCCCTCCAGCTACGCAATAGGAATGCACGGCTTCGTCCCCTTGTACGCAATATGCCCTCCATCTTGCCTATGCCCCCATCCGTACTCCTCGATGTTCCATGCGATCGTCGATGTCTTCGTAGGGGCTGGAGTAGAGGCTGCTCCCAGTCGAGGAGCAGAGGAGAGACTATCGTCCGACTCATGGCCGACGCTCAACTGGCCTCCAGCTTCGGCAGCGGACTTCAGCCCTCACTTCGGCGCTGTCACCGCATTACCCGTTACGACCGGCCAGCCGGCTGCCAGCCGCCGAACGTGCTATACTGGGACCACGACGCAGGGGCGGGCCACGGCGAGTGAATGGCACGCCGTGGGAACCGGCAAGGATGGGCCGGAGGCGAGCGTGCGAACCGACGGCGACCGTCGCCATCCGCGACAGTAGTCGCAAAAATCGCTCCATTTTACATATATGTGGTGCTGCCATTGTGACTTTGTGTCGACCGCTTCATCCAGGGTCATGCCTCCGCGTCAGACTTTTTTAGCTCGCGGTTCTGGCGGAGAGGCCTTTGACTATCGCCGATACCAGGATGGCGAACGAAACATGAACTGTAGAGAGCAAGGTGAGAAACGCAGGCAATCAGCTGGAGAAGCCTGGCTGACAGTAAGGCAGTGCGGGCGCAGTATAAAGACGGTACCTGGGCGGGTATCACTAGCCTCCAGCTCCATTCACGTGCCCAAACTTTTTGATTCGCGGAAAGTGGCACTTTTCATGCAATTGCGCACCCACTCATCTCACGCATGGCAAGGACAGGATCCACGAACGTGAATGTGCACTTTCTCTTCAATGGTACCAAAAAAGAGCGCATTCACTGAGCCGTTCAAGAGGTCTTAGCACGGTAATACTGGAATACGTATTGACAACCACGGACTAGTGTTGGCCCGATGTGATAACAAAAAACTTTTTTACGGCTTGCGTTAGACACCTTCTGGGATACTGCTCACCAATTTCGTCACCATCGACTCGGTGCCCAGTTGAGGGAAATTTTGCGCGAGCAGCCTTACTCATAACTCGTTTGAAGATCGCCTCCATGACCACTACCGAAGATGAGAAGGAGAGCCACTGATATCGATGAGCTATTCACAATTTCCAGAGGTGAGACTGATGAATACCTCTAGCAGCTCTACAGGAAGCGTGTAACTATAGGCGTAAAACGAGGGCACAGCTTCAAGCTGCTCAGGCATAACGCTCGTTCGTGCTTGTATAAAAATAGCTTTCCGCGGAGAGGTAGACTCGGAATGTGATGGACGTGGCTGCGTACTTCAATTAAACGCGGCGGTGGCTAAGCTTTTGAAGAGATATTTTCATTTTGACACAGTTGTGGTGCAACACTGAACAAGGTGACAATCGCTCATACTGAAATATCCTACGAGTAATCCATTCTATGTCACGTTCTAGTGCCATGCTTTCTCCATTTTACCAAGGATGCCTGCCAACTTACCATGGAACTTTGAATGGACACCTGGGTAGATAGAGTCTATAAGGTTATTTACAAATATAGATAGCAAAACTGCAACCTGCATTTCACAAGCAACTTATGAGCAGGTAAAGTTTGTAATGTAAAAACCACTGAACCACCACGACTCGATTCCTCGTTATGCTTGACCTTCCTTCACCCAGCTCACCACCAAGCCTCCACCCTACTGCACCACTCATTTTACGTACTCATAAGTTGCTTGTGAAGTGCAAGTTGCAGTTTTGCTATCTATATTTGTAAACAACCTTATAGGCTCTATCGATCTAGACAGGTCTCCACTCAAAATTCCATGGTAAGTTGGCGGATTTCCCTTGGTTAGGGGCACGGAGTTCGGGAGACTAGTTCTACCAGCCGAGGGTGTAAATTACTCGAAGACACAGGATTTTTCAATTGAATGCCACAATGAAAAATCTTTTAGCAGGCATTGCCTGCGATCTAGAGCAAAGCAGCTACGGAATTGATGTACTCCAGCCCAAGGACAATTGCATTAATGTTCCTGTTTATTGTTTGTTTCTTAGGAATTGCCAGCACCTGCCCTAAAGTCAGAATCTTTTTGTTGCCTTTCTCCTACCTTTGTTCACCTTGAGCTTCGTTCACCTTTCTTTCTGTCTCTTTTGATATCTCACTGCTGTTTACTTCTACACCAGTATCTTAGCTTCAGCTGTTCTGTTGCTCCGTAGTTTCTGAACATCTACACAAACAGCACAGTCTACACGATATCAGATGGGTTCTTGTGAATTTGACGGAAGAGTGTATCCGGATCCACCTGCTACTCTCGCGACTTGCCATGTTGGTGGGCTGTGGCTCTCTACCAGCAGCTTCTACCGCCTCTCTCTTGCCACCATCATTTCCTTTCGTACTCCTTTTTCGTTTCATTTCTTTTCATACTCCTTTTTATTTTTTTCAATTTTCATTCACCGTTGATCGGTCGCTTTGTCAGATAACGTTATATTCCGTTGATTCAGAAATCGGTAATAAGTCATAATCATAACCAATCAGTTTTTGGGCTACCCTACTACTACTACAGTATCGTTATGGAGTACGGGTGAGCTGGTAGTATACCGTCAACAAAAGTAACACATACTGGGGCTGTTTCTACAGTAGCACTGACGCCATATATGTGGTGGACGGATGATGAACTGAATGTGATGGCTTCTTTTCTAGACGCTTTCGCTAGGAACAGCAACGCCTACACGATACGAACGATCAGGTCAGAATATCAGAACACAATTGGACAGCGGGAACGCCCGGCATTTTCGGATGTTCGACTGATGAATTACCTCTACAACTGCTCCAGTGAGTCAGCTTCAGTACTTAGCATCGCCTCGTTCGCAGACACTCGAGGGTTACCTTTCAAGTATACCTATGTACAGGTCTCTGCACAAGATATCCGGTACCTGCATGCCGTTCACCTGGCTTCCAGAATCCAAGGAATTGCTATCAGTGTTTGTGCCCTCATATGTTTTCCGGTCCAACATGCTCACAGTTACCTACGGGTACTGCACCAAATTGCAATGGGAAGGTTGTTCAGGTAAGGGAGTGCTTCATATGATTTCCTGGCTACTCTTATCTGGGTCAAATTTGCACTCTGCTAGGTAAAGTCATGAAAAGCAACAATATATCGTAGACATTGCACATAAACCTACAGGGATTTCTACCATAATGCCTTTGATGGGAAGATTCGGACCCCTTTCCAACGTGCTAGCTGAGGCGGTTCATCAGACTTTCACCAATGATGTTAGAGTTGGAGTGCAGCTTACCAACCAGTACTCTCACTGTTTTGAAGGTAGCGCTTACGGAAAACCAAATGAATTAATATACTGAGATAGGAAGGCAGCATATATGTATGCCACACGACCTCGGAAACGGCCACAAAAAAACCTGGCAGCGCTTCCGCAAACCTCTCATACCCTTCTACCCTAATGCAACTAATGCAAATCTCGCTACCAACCGGGGGCGGGGGGAGGGGCGGGGAACAACCCCTCCCACAAAATCAAAAAAACAACCTCAATAGAGGACCACTTAGCAGCGGCTTGCCCTTATTCAAGAGAAAAAAGCAAAACTATCCACATGTAATCGCTTGCTCTCGGAATTGTTTTCAATACTTGTGATCATATGGTATGTAAAAAGAGTAAGTAGCCCGTCTCCATTTTGTAGGCCACGTCTTCATCATGGGTCACGCTCAACGGTGTGGCTGGCAACGCAAACAGCTACACAACAACAACGACACCAACTGACTGCTATTGGCATATTTCTGTGAGACGTTTCAAGATGAAGTACAACCAGAAAGAATGGAAACTAGAAAAACAGTGTCCTGAACCGTAGCCTCCTTTTTGAAACTACAGCGCGAGGTAGCATTCCCCCGTTGTTCCAAGAGATACAGGACTTTTTTCAATCACGTGTCGCCGGGAACACTAGAATGTAGAAGTGTCTGACGGTTCACAAACAACTTTTATACTTGATCCATGTTCAAGTTTTTGAGAGTGATCTTGGAAGGAAGGGTCAGGCCAACAATAAAATTCTGCTTCGTAACCTGGTTGTAACTAAACAAAAACAGGAGAATACCTCAACACCATGAGGTTACGGCTCGCGAAGTATGAGAATTACGCTTTCATGATCACCAGGAAGTGTAGCAGTCCACTGGACTCTGACTTTCTCTGAGAACAGAGCTAGCGTCGTGAAGTACTTGCTCAATCTTTTACATAACATCGACATAAAGTACAGTAGTAAGGTGGTGAAGCGGCTCATTTCGATGAAAACACAATGTGTCAAAGCTTTAGCGAGTCAAAACTGATTTATTTGCCTCGTAAGCTGCCTTAAAGGCACAGTTCGCGACCGCAAATTGCGGGAAACGGAACTCAAATAGGCACAAAAAGTGCTAAGTATCTGATTAGCGGAGAAAAGCAGCAGTAAAAGCAGTCCGAAATGTTATAGATAAAGATATCATAGTGGCTACTAGCTAGTAGCTAGCAGCCGGTGAGGGTCGGCATGGGCCTAAGGGGTGTCCATGGGCCTAATTAGCCAGCTTCTAGCGGAGTTCTTGCCGTTTTTCACATTTTGAAAGTAGCGCAGCCTCAAAAATCGCCTTCCGGATCGTCCGACACATTTGAGAGGTCATAGCCTTATTTTATCGCGGAATGTGCCTTTAAATTGGCCGAAGCAATCCTAGTATGAGCTTTGGGAGCTCTTACTCATGTAGATTATTTTCTCTCTGGTCTGTCTAATTTCTCAATCCATAATCACGAGTCTCTTTTTAAGGCACCTGCTGGTCGAAGACTTGAAATCAAATTAAGCTCACCGCCAAAGCATTGTGTGCAAGGCTGTCCATGGCAAGGAATTGAAGTCAATCTCGGCAATTTCGACCAGTACGGAATGAATGTAAGATTTGCGGATTCCAGCTTCTCAACGGCATTTTTGATGCGGTCCATCATTGAACAATGCTAAAAACTCTCGAATATGCATGAAAGAAGCGGTTCGAATGATATGCATCAAAGCGCTGCCACTTAAAGACAGCTCCCGCGATAAAAGTCTCATGGATAGCTGCTTTCCAATTATGAAACAGCAGCTGATAAGTAATCTCCCAAAGAAGAAAACAGGCAAGAAGCGTTCTCCAGAACAACATAAACAAAATCGCTCCCTCACAGTTACACCTCCCTGCGGTCTCTGTGCAGCCCCTAGCTCACAAGTCTCTCTATCACATCTCGCAGTAGTTGATATCATCCAGTGCAAAAAAGAATACAAAAAGAAAACAACAAAAACGCAGAGGAAAAACTCTGGAAGGAAAAAAAGGAATTTTATCAAGCCCCCCACACCACACGGTGTCTGAATTTGTGATTACGGTAGCGCACCTTTTGTGCGTCGTGGTTTTGCATCACGAAAATTGCGTCACTCGTGTTTTTTACGCGTTTCACCTCGCGAAATGGGTTGAATTGAATGTATATACCTCCAATGAGTAAACTGTAATGAAGGAGAGCAGAATTATCCAGGGGCATTAGCAATGCCCGCCGCCCCAACTAAGAACAAGTGAGTGGCCTCCGTCGGAGGACATCTAGCAAGTAAAGGCGGTCCGAGGAGGAGTTAGAACTAGCACTTTGAGCGGCTATAGCAGCCTCCACGCTCACAATAGAGTCGCGAAAGGTGAACAGTCTTCTAGCTTGGAGGCTAGACTACTTGCACAGCAAAGGCGACCACGAGCCACTTTGATCGCGGGGGCTGTCTTTAAAGGCGTAGAAACGATAATTTTGGTAAACGGTCTAAAGCGGCAGCAGGGGCGCTGTATACGGCAGAATGACGAAGAAGCGAAGTGAAACGATCGAAAACCTGCAAAAAAACCTTTGTTCTCCTCGATTCCACAGAGCAATTTCAGACGAGTTTCCCGTCGTTATCGTGACCGCTACGGTAAATGGGGCAGGTGCGTGCTCATATATCCATGCAGCAACGTAAACACTTCCCTATGAATCCCTTCGCTTCACACAGTACTTTGTAAATATACCGATATGAGCATTAGCATCGGCTGGACATTTGTGGGCGTACAGGTCAGTATGTTTCAACTTGACAGGGCACTATAAGGGCACCTTCCTCAAAAAGTCGCCACGCAGCGCCTACTCATTAGAGCCGGATTCTGTCCTGCTAGGCGTATTAATCCCATACGTCTTGGGGATTTATCGTGCCACTTGCCTTTGAATGTCAGGCATATGGACACCCAGTGATTCAGTTTTAGCCCATACTGCACGGGTCGTCTTGGTGTGTTGAGGTCCAGTCTTAATCCGTCCTTTCTGTTCAAGGTAAGGGAGAGCCTCGTTGAGAGCGTCTTCTACAATTTCTTTTTCATCAATGAATTTAATGACAACTGC